CATGGACTATAAACATTAATGTAGAGAAGTGATCACTTCAGAGTTTGTGAAAATTTCCGAGGAACAGAATCAATGACCGTGGGTGTATGTACACAATATATATTATCGTATTATCATATATTATCATATATTATATATATTATCGTAATTTATCAAAAATCTTATTTCTGTTATTTTGAAAACTGTCATCAAATAACAGCATAATAATAGCTAATTCAATCCTATACATTTTTAAAATTATTTTTAAATATGATTTTTTAAATCATTTATTATACATTTATATAATATTTTATTGCTCGTAACAGATGCACATAATAACTCTTAATAGATCAAAATCAAGTATAAGTTAATAATCAATTGCTATTATTATTAAGCTATTAAAATTTATTAATATTTTTTCTTTATTTATATGTATATACCTATAAATAAAAAATACCTACCCACAAATACTTTATATAACATTAAATATACATTATTTAAATATTTATTTTTATTTATTTATTATTTAAATAATTATAATTTGAGTATTGCCTTACTGCAAGTATTATATTATTTTCAATTAATTGTGTTTTATTGTAATCATTACATTATATCTGTTAATTTCGCATTCTTGCGTGTAGGCATTAGCAGCAGCATTGCTGATGTCTTATGTATTTTATGTATTTTACAAGCTATTTATATGTAATTCAACGATTACATGGCTAAATAATAAATTAATTATAATTAATTTTTTAGAACCGACAAGAATATGTTAATTTATAATTTCGGATCGCCAATTGATGGACCTACTTGGAAAGAATTGATGTGCAAACTTCTTGACATAAATAAAATATATCCCTTGCAAAATATCATATATTTCCCATCTTTGATTTTCTTCCAATCTAAAATATTATATACAATTTCTGTGTGGCTCGGTTACTTCCTTCCAGCTTTACTTATAGATGCTGCAAGCATCTGTATGGGTTATAGTCCAAGGTATTACGTAAATATATAAATGTTATTTCTTTTAGATGCATATTTCTAATAGAAAATAATAATAATTTTATGTGTATTTCAGAATGTTGCAATTTTTTATAAAGAGAGAAAAAGATGTTGAACTATTGAGACCTTTTCTTATCAAAGATTGTAATTATTCTACTGACAATGTTCAAGCGATGTGGGATTATCTCAGTGAGAAAGACCAACAATTGTTTAAATTCAACATGGTAGGATTTGATTGGAAAAAATATTTAATGGATTATCATAACGGCATACGCCACTATCTACTCAATGAAGATGACAGCACGTTGAAAATCAGTCGTATTAAATATAGAAGGTAATGGGTTTTTCCTTAGTTTTCGGTTAATTCTTTTAGTTTAAGTTTTGCTTCTATTTATAAATCAAAATCTTCAATTTCAGATTTTACTGGATACATCAAATCATCAAAGCTACACTTATCTTTATTGTCCTATGGATCATTTGGTTCATGTTTAAGAGAATGTTTGTATAACTTTTACGTTAATTTAAGTATAATGCCTTATTTACATCAGTATAGGGGAGACCGAGGACAGGAATAGTAACAGGGTACAGTTGTAACATCGTGAATATTTTTAAAACTATAATAGGTATATGTATGTGGCCGTGAGGCAAAAATCATTAAACAGACTAACATATATTGATTAGTTCCTTATTGCGGAACGCACACATGTGCAGGGGCAAAAAATACTTTCTTTATTTCTCAAGTAAGTTTTATTATGTGCGCAAAATCTAAAATGTTTTTGTTTTTTATAGCGGAAGTATAACGTATATTATCTAAAAAGGTTTTATAAGTGATCATCTATGTTAATGATTTGCATATTTTAATAAATTTTTATCTATATATTTATTTTGAAATTTTACTTCAAATTATAAAATACCATTATAGGGGACAATTGTAACATCGGTGCCTGCAGAGACGGTTGTAGCGTTACAATTGTCTCCGAATTTGCTTGGATTTATTTGAGTGTTGTTTTTCACAATGTTATTTAAATTTTGTTTGCAGTGCTTTGCAATGAAATCTTACTGCAACGAATTTATAGCGTTTTTCACTGGAAGGAACTGAGTGCGCACCGGCACTGCACTATCACCATCACTTGATGCTGAGTTTCTGCAATAAAATGCAAAAACTTGGCATGAAGTCTTCCAGTAAAACAGCGCACATCGACTTCGTGCACACTGAAAAGCTCAATGAAACACGCTACTCTCGATAAGTGTGCATTCAGTGCGCACCAGTGAAAAACGCTATTAGAGTGCAGCTGTGTACAATTAGCATGAGTACCACAGGCATATGAAGAGAGTAGTAGGCTCTTGCTCGATATGAGCTGTAGCGCCATCGAATAATAATAATCTCTCAGTCGTTTGTACTTTATACCACCAACAGGCAAACTTAAACAGATAGATTATACGTAAAGTATGCTATAAATTTCTGATGTCAGAAAGGCAACAGATTTCACATAGACTCTGTAATTATCTGACGATATCGGCAAATTGCTATTATTAGAAATTTAGCAGAATCTGTTGACGTTCTTTTTTGTCAGCAAATTGCCAGATATCAAGAAAATTCTGTTGATAGACTTTGATGGCACATTGGCGGCAAAAACAATCCCGAGTAGGATCTGTGCAACGCAATCTGACAACAGATTGGTAGCAGAAATTGAGCAGATTTTTCAAACGCAATATTTAGTTCATACTTTTAAAACAACGTTTTATACGTATTTAATTTAAACAATATTTTATTGATATTTAGAATATTTTTTGATAATATTAATAATACGTAGCAACGATAAAATATACACGGAACCTAATTAAAAGCGCGATAAAATATGAGAAGTGAGTACTCAAATCTGTCAATTTCTTTTCTTTGAAAATTTGATTTATGGAGCTACCGAGCTACATATTGAAATTAAATGTTGTCGAAGTTATCTT